GCCCGTCTGGGAAAAGGGGGCCCTCTCCCGGGGGGCGGGTGGGCGGGCCGTGTCCTCCGTGGGGGCAGGGAGGGCCGCGGACGACCCCCGCAAGGGCCGCGGCCTCCTGCGCCAAGCGCCCCAGCTCCAAGCGCGCTGCAGTAGCCATGGCAACCGCGCCCTGACCGCGTCCAGGCGCAGAGGCCCGCCCGACAGTGACGCCACCGCCATTCGTGCTTGTGGTTGGCAGGACTTAGAATCATTCGGCGGCGATGATTGGTGGAGCTTTCGTCGTCTTTTCGGTTTAATTCTCCGGAGCGAGGCTCTTCGTGCGTGATTTGAGAAGTGTGGCGGGGGGATAGGTCGGTACTCTCTGTGGCAGCGAGGGTCATCTTTCCCCTCATCTGAAATGACGTTGTGAGGCTTTCCTCACATACTCAGGAGCCCAGTCTTCGAGGAGGGCTCCAGTACATATCCTTCAGAACATTGACTCTCCCATGCCTTCCCCCTACTCGTTCCTCTGCAAAGAGGTCGGGGATTACACCGCCCAGAATTCCCAGCCATCCTGAGGTAATTCTCGGAAGGACGTATTCCCCCCGCCCCTGAAGCTCAGGCCCTTTGAGGGATTTCTCTCTCCGCGCGAGAGGGGATGCCAAGCGCGCGTCTTCGTCCCCATGGCAACAACGAGCAACTCATCGCTCGCGGGCCGGTCCACAACCGCCAGCTCTATCGCGCGCTCAACGTCACATCGCACTAGGCCTATAACCCCGCCTCCTTTCCTTTCCCATTGGCCAGAGCTTCATAAGGCCATCTCGGCCTAGCGCCACCGATTGGCCAGGAGTGGCAGAGCCGCGGGGAGCGCGGCGCGGCAGAAGGGCTGGAAAGGCGCGGTTCATTAGCATAAACCCCTCCCCCTTCTCATATGGCCTCCGCGCTCTCCTTCCTTCGCGGTCGCTGCGGCGCGCTCCTCGCTGGCTTCGCTCGGAGCATCCTCGGGCGCCCAGCGCACCTTCTGCGCCGCGGAGGTGGGAGCCGGTCCGAGCCCTCCGGAGAGCGGCGGGCGGATCTGAGGAAAGCAGTGTCGCGTCCTCCCGGAGGAAGACGAGCCCTGACGGTGACCGAGGTCTTCGCCTCCCGTTGGGGGGAAAAAGGGGGCGCAGCCCCAACCTCAAGCAAAACCCACACCGCCTTTTCTGGTCGCCCGTTCGGCCCTTGGGGACGCATCGAAGCCGGGGGGGAGAAAACCCCTCACCCCGTCTTCTCTCTCACTCTTCGTCTATAGATGCAGGTATTTTAAAGCCTCCGATGCGGGCGGGCTTCCTCTCAGTCTGCCTCCCCCCCTCCCCAGCTTTGGACCGCCTTCCCATCATCCCCAGCCCTCATGTTCAAGACACTTGGAGGGGACCAGCCCAGGGGAGACCGATGTAATCTAACGTGGCGTTTTCCATTGTGGCCAAAGGGCTGCTTCTGGACATGCCCCACCTGGTTTGAATGAAGCGTTCATTTTTTTATTTTTTTTAAATCAAATCTGTGTTTTCGTTCCAGGATCTTTTAAAGTGCTCGGAAAGAAGAAGGGGAAAACCCACCATGAAGGACTGCGGCACTTTTCTCATACTGGCTGGACCGGATGTTTTACTCTCTTAAACACGCACAGGGACAAGCAGGTTATTTTAGCTGCCCCTCTTGGTGGATGAAGGATTGAGCGCACTAAAATATATGCATGTGGTGGCACAGGCCTGCAGAATGCCCGACCAACAGAAATAAGTGCCACTGTTCTCAAGAAGACCTTCTAACCCAGATAGCCACATCCATTATTATGCCCGAATATCTGCACTCAGATACTGTTTTTTGTGACCAAAAGGGGTTTTGCACCAAACGTGTGGTAGTTAAAGACAATTAGGACAAGATGAATGAGCCTTACTGCAGTTTATTGACATGCGTCAAGGCACTCTGAGAGAACGTGTCAAGAGAGGTTTCCAGCTTATATTTATACTGTGTAATAAACACCTATTCTTCTTATACCAAACTAGTCATCGCTGAAGGCTGTGTTTCCTCCAACTATCCCTTGACTTGTGAAGTGTAACAAGATTCTTCTTTATTCTTAAGCAGCATGCAGAGCTGTATTTGACAGTATTCTGCGTAGCCTCTGCTAAAACGAACGTGTTTGAAACCTGTGCCTGAATTGCATAGCGACATACATAGTTAGACACATTATTACTTACATAGTTTAGACTGTGGTTATGCTGCCCAGTGCATTCTTTTCAGCATCTGAAGTGGAGCAGGACGACTTTGTTTCACAAAATGGTTCTTCTTGAAATACAGCACTCCTACAAATGCCTTGAAGTTTCCTGACTGCTTTGACTCAGTTTAAGTTTTCTTATACTTGTCTTTCTTGTCTGAAAGGGGGGCTTTATACATTTTTTAAACAATTTTATACATCTTTGGGCGTGTAAAGAAAAAGAGTCCTCACAATGTGGACTTTTCTGGGCATCGCTTCCTTTATCTATGTCTACAAGAAATGTGGAGATTTACTAAGTTATGCCAACAAGGAGGTGCTGATTTCCACATTGGTGTTCTTTTCTCTTGGCTTGGTGCTTTCTTATTGGTACCGATCGTGGGGACTCCAACAGCACAATAAGCAGCAACCTCATTGCGGAATGCTTTCCAATTTCCTTGCTGCCTTGCCATTTGTTGGCTTTTTCTGGACTAAATCCCATGCTGGTTCTCTGGAGACACTGCAGCTGAAAGGCAGAAAGGTATGTTGGATTTTAGCTGAATATTTTAAAAGAGAATAGTCTTGTTCCTTTATTTGGGAATGGAGAAAATACTTCTGATTGGGCTGATGCTGGCAGTGCAAACGCTATTATAGATTTATATTCCATAAGGCTTCTCGTGAATTTTGCTGAAAATTAAAATACTTCTGATTGGGCTGATGCTGGCAGTGCAAACGCTATTATAGATTTATATTCCATAAGGCTTCTCGTGAATTTTGCTGAAAATTAAAATCTTCAGATTTTGAGGGTTCTTTTACTAGGGAAGTGTTCACTTACACTAAAACTCAGAGCTTTGAAACATTATGTTGAAGTTGCAGAATGTGTCTTACTTGTATGATCCTAGGATTTCAGATCTCAGCCAATTATTTCAGCTTGCTAGGATGAGGGCTGCAACTGTGAAATAACAGGTATATTATTTTCTTAAAATTCTGATTATTGATGTGAAGCAGCTACTAGCCTAACCTATTTAAATTCACTTGCAAGTTAGTCCCATTGGCTGGATTTGCCACAAACTAACTATTTGCCCCCTGCGCAGCACCGCCGGTTCCTCCCATCTAAACGGGAGTACCCATTTATCTACTCGCAGATGGAATAGCTTTCAAATTGCTGGGTAAGCAAGAGCTAGGACAAGGGACAGGAGCTCACCCCGTCCCGCGGAGCCGGGCTCGAACCGCAGGAGAGCCAATCATTTCTGACCGGCAACTCCCACGTCATTAAGCCCTTACGCCACCGCGTCCCTAATCATGGTTACATAAACCATGGATGTCTGTGTGTGAACACAGCCAGTGTTTGGATCTAAACCTAGCCAAACCTCCCCCAATGTGATTTTCTCCAAATGTCCTGGGATGACAATTCTTGGAAAGAAATGCTGCTGGGAACTTCTGTTGTCCCACATATCTGAAGGCAGAAAGAGGGAAGAGGCCATGTGATTCTCACATTACTTAAATCAGCATAATCTTCCCTAGTCTGCTGGCCAATCAATATGTTGGATTCTAATTTTCAGTAGCGTGCTATGTTCGTTAGTTATGATTGATGGGAATTGTAAGCCAGCCTACCTGGAGTGGTGTGGTTAGTGCTGGAGAAACAGAGAAAGTCCCACATACAGTCACTGAAACTTCTAAGGGAAGAGTTCTTGGGTAGCTGAGGTGAAAAACACCCTTTTCAAGGCACATGGGAGCACCATTATCCAGAGGGGTCAGTTATATGAATTATATAATTATTCATACACACACACACATACACACACACGTACATGTTCATATATGTTCATATAACAGTTATATGAACATTATATGAATATGGCAGGGCTGAAATGTTTAACTTTTGCATTAACAGCAATGCCACCTACAGACTAGAGCAGCGTTTCTCAAAGTGTGGTCTGGGGCCCCTAGGGGTCCGCGAGGTCAAATAAATATTTTAAACTTTCTTAGTTTTAATTTCTAATACAGTAAATATTGATAGATACAACCTACATAAACCAAAGCTCTTTGGGGTCTTCAGTAATTTTTTAGAAAGTAAAGGGATCCTGAGACCAAAATGTTTGAGAACTGCTGGACTAGAGTATAGTTACAAAACTTGAAATACTGTATACAGGCAGTGAAAGGCAGTGAACATTTGAAACTTGGGTGAAATCTGAGGTAGTTTTCCCTTCTCTGGTATGATTGCTTACATTCTGTCACCCTTACTGACAGTGTGGAACTTAGGACGAGTTTATGAATTCATAATGCCCACAGGCCTTGATATGAGAACCAGGTAACAGGGTCTTCTACAATCACTACTAATGTTTTGGTTATCTACTTTTAAAGAGGCAAACATTTTTAAAAAATCTGTGTTCCTCATGGTTCAATACCTTGTAAATCCATTTGTAACAAGCACATTTTAAAATAAATTCAGTCAATAGATTTATAATGGCTGATGTGGGTCTTCCGAGCTGTGGTTATTTGTGGGCTGTGTATATCCGGGCTGTGATTTATAATTAGTGAACTCTACTTTTCACTATAGTATACTAAACATACTTTCATAAGCAAAGCAAATTAGTAATGAAATAACTTTATCTGAGGTGCTGAAAATTAAATATTTCAGAAAGCCATTTTTCATTGTTTCTAAATTTATGAAAAGTTTACATTTTTACATGCAATGTATCTACGCTACCACTGGTTACCCTTGCTGGAGCCACTTGTATTTTGAGTGTGCCAATATATTGTATGTACCTCCTAGTTGGTGGGTGGCCAAAAATACGTTGGATTTTAAGGTTGTATTTGATTAGAGATTCTGGCTTGCATAGAATAGTGTGAGCAAGTTTGGAATAAATGACTTTGGTTGCACATGTGGCATACTAACCAGATGTGCCAAACTGACCAGTACTGTGCCCTTACTGTGCATTGGTATGATTACATCTGGTAATCTAGTTTGTTCTTTCTTAATCTTACTAAAAAAGTTATACAGGTAGTCTTTGACCTACGGCCATTATTTGTTCAGCAACTGTTTGAAGTTATGACAGCACTGAACAAATGGTTATGAGTGGTCCTTGGAGTTCCGGCTGTCCCAGCACCCCCGTCATCACATGATTGTGATCTGGACACTTGGCAACTGGTTCGCACTTATGACTGCTTGCAGTGCCCCACTATCAAATGATTGTTATTTGCAATCTTCCCTGCCAGCTCCCCCACTCTTAAACAAGGATGCCCCCACGGTGTGAATGGAATTAAGAATAAAAGTGATAAAATTATTTGGGATGAAATTGAAATGAGGGAATACTGGAAGAATGATTTTAGAGAATAACAGTGATACATTGAAAAATTGAAACATGCTGTAGATGTTACTGCCTGGGAAAAATGATGAAAAGAAAGTCATAAATACTGTGAAATTGTTGAACAGTGGTAATGTTGTAGAAATAGGTGGTATAAGTGGAGAAATGTTAGAATATGGATGCAGTTTGCTTATAGAATGACTCTGCAGTTTGTTTAATAGGTGTGTGAAGGCTGTATCTGTGCCTGACAATAGAAATAACCCCATTCTTTCCCTATACACAGAGAGAGGTAGCAAGAAGGAATGCAAAAACTGTACATTCTACTGAGTGTGACGGGGAAGATATTTGGCAGAATTCTGACTGAAAGAGTTCTGTCAGTTAGCAAAATTTTGCAGATGCAGTGTACATAGTTATGTCAGTTAGGAGGTGTGCAGACTGCATTTTGGTTTTTAAGCAGGTTATTGGCAAATGCACGTGAGAAAGAAAGTTTATTGTAAATTTGTTGATTTAGAGCAGTGTTTCATAAAGCTTGGTTCTAGGACCCCAGGGGGTCCCCCAAGACCCTTTCAGAGATCCTCAAAATTAAAATTATTTGCCAGATACTGAAGATCTTTGCAAAAATTTAAAACAATGACACTCTTCTCATTATTTTTTTTGTTAAAAATAAAGGTTTTTTTCATGAAAAATATTTTATTTGTGTTAATATCTAATGGGTTTAATATTGTTATTTTTTGTGATTCAATAAATAAATATTTTATAAATGCACCAATTTTAATTTTTAATACAGTAAATATTGATAAATATAACCCATACAAACAAAAGCTCTTTTGGGGTCCTCCATAATTTTTAAAAGTGGGAAGAGGTCCTGAGAGCAAAAAGTTTAAGAAACACTGATTTAGAGAAGATGTAGGATAAAGTGAAGAGGCTTGAATTTGATTGCTGAATTCGATAAGAGTTTACATGATGGAAGTGAAGTGTGCATGAAAATTAAGGAAACACTTAGGAAATGGTTTGATCCTGAGCAGGGAAGAAAACAAGGACGTATGATGTCCCCTTGGTTGTTCAATATATTTATTAATTAAAGTTTAAGGAATCCTTATGATGTTAGAACTGTACTGGTTGGGAACATGAATATACATGAACTTGGGTATGCAAATGATGCCATGTTGTTGGGTGCGAACCTGAACGATTTACAATCCATTTGAGATAGAGTGCATGATGCATGAGAAGTACAGATTTGAAAATTAATGGAAGATAATTGGGCTTGACAGCGAAAATGGAGTGAGCCATTGCAAGCTGTACACAGGTGATGAAAAACAGAGCAAAACTAAGATCCTTGAGAGAGATGAGGTTTAAAAAACAAAAGGAAGCGTACGATGTTGCATATGGCTGTGATGGAAGCAAAGATGGTTTGCAAGATAAAAAGTAGATGCATAGTGAATGGTGGTATAGATCAGTTCTGGCTGTAGTTCCTTTTCTTACCTTAGGCCTTTAGTTTATTTGACTTACTGGTGATTATTCCTTTTTTCACTCTGCCTAACATTGCTTATTTGAAAGGGAATAGGCCAATGAGTATCTATGTAAATATGCATCTATGATTTACTGTATATAAATTTGAGGGAATATAGTCTCATAGGAAGAAATATCTGCAAGATATATCCAGTAGTACGTTAGAAGTCTGATGTAACTAGTTTACCTAGACTTTAGATCAGAAATATCTGACAAAACCATGTTTAGAATTAACTGAAACAATCTACTAACCTGAGGGCCGAAATTCTAAAAATGAAGAGGCCAGGAAACAGAGGGGAAATTGTGAATAATTTAACTATGCTGCTGTACCACTATTCTGTACAGTACTCAAAAATCCAGTACTCAAAATCAGTAACTCCTTCTCGTTTTCTCATACTTCATTCCCTCCATTCCATGGCATCCACAGCACAAACGCCAAAATGACAACACTTGGGCAGTGATGAGATCACACAAATGCTGCCTTTTGCCCCCTTTTATCTGGTGCAAGTACTTAAGCCCTTAAATTGTGTGGGATAGATATCTTGGTTATCCAAAAATACCCCTCAAATACTGTGCTTAATTGGTAATCTGTGACTCAGGATTTTAGATGCTTTAAACTGAATGTGACTAAATCTGCAGCATATCCAGCGGTCATTGTAACAGCCTAAATGCATTTGATTTTCTTCTTTCTGATGCAGGGTAGAAGGGAAGTCATTCCTTCACCTGACAGTACAACAGAAACTGCTTCGGTTTCAACAGCCACTCCTCAGTCTGATCCAGAAGTGATCATTGTCGGGGCTGGTGTTCTTGGCTCTGCTCTGGCAGCAGTATTGGCACGGGATGGAAGGAAAGTGACGGTAATTGAGAGAGATCTGAAGGAACCTGACAGGATTGTTGGAGAACTCTTGCAGCCAGGAGGTTATAACACTCTAAAAGATCTGGGCCTTGAAGGTATATTACTATTGATAAAAACACTTGGCTTTCATTCACAGATCTCGGAATAATGCTTTAACTGCACTTGTTTGAGGTTCACTCAACAGCCTTATTCATCTTTTCCATCTTTACTTTGTATTCTTGTAATTATTATAAAAACCTGAAAACAAATAATGCCAATAAAACTCCTCTGTGTCTGTCATCTTGTGGACAAAAACAGTTAAACAACCTAACTTGCCCTTAAATTCATGGCTCATATTAACTGAAAAAAGAAGGGAGAAAAATCATAAGATAAAAACCAAGATGGAGAAACATAGTCAGCAAAGGAAAGCTTCTATAGCTAGAAGAGAAGAAACATGATTGAGCTCATCATCAACATTGCTTGTTGGATATTGCCCTTAATGTAGGTAAGCAGAATGTGTGATTCTGAACCTGAACAGAGTGATTCTTATTCTTCTATGTCCCACTACCAGTTTTCCTGCCTCACTAGGTACCATTTACATATAAACATTGAGATAAACATGCCATCTTTTCTGTGTTATTTCCCCATGATATTGCCTTTTTCATCTCATTCCCAATGTATCAGTGAGACACTTTAAGTGGTCCTTAGCTGTTCAAGTGTTAGTTTTCCAAAATTATCAAAGAGGACCCTCAAATCTGACTTTCTCACCTATTACCCTGAAAGAAAGTTAAGTGCAGTGTCTTGAAACAGAGGCAGTAGAGAGACAATAAGGATCAGCAACAGCACAGCAATTGTCCTGCTATAGTAGCTTTCTGTCAATTCAAGAATGGGTATATGGCACTTTAACAAAGCAGTTGGGAAGGGGCCTAGGATTGCAGAAAATGGAGGACTGCTAAACACCAAAGTATGTGTATAAACTTTATAGGTTACAAATTATGCTTGGGATGAATGGACTTCAATTTCAAAATTTTTTAGCAATGGGCTGGCTTTAACATTCTGGGAATTAAAGTTCGGTGTAATTGAAGGAAGCCAGATGGGAGAAGGCTAGGTTACTGTGTTGTGTGGGGTTAACTAATTGTGAGTTATTCAAAGAAGCATCCCTAACAAAGAGGACCGAACTCATAGAGTGGTAGGTTCTCTTCTCCCAGAAACTTTCTGGGTCTTCACACTCTGGCCCTACAACAGCTTGGTAATTCCTGCTGCCACCATCTATTTGCCAAGAAGATTCTTCATTGCGTGTCCTTCCCCACTAACCTCTAGGGTAGAACAGAGAGAAAGCTCCCTCACCCTGCCACCTTTCTGGCAAGTGAAAAAGATAAAAATGTAATAGTGCCCCTCTGCCCCCGGCCATATAGTGTTGGGGCACGTCACTAGGAATATCAACCCATCTTCTACTTTCATGGGAGGTAGACAAATCTCACAATAGATAAAGATGGAACTTTATTAAAAAGGAAAGCAAAAAGATGTATAGAAATCACTTTTGAACTTTAAAGCCTTAAAATGGTAAATGTATAGTGTTGCAGGATCTAGAATATAGTGCTGTCCAGGCTATAATATACCCCAGTTTGCAAACTAACACATCCCCAAAAATCACAAAGATGACAATGATCCGTTATAGTCCCATGGGCTCCAAGTTTTCACAGAGCTCAAAGAATTTGTCAGGAAAATTATTATCTCAAAAAGATTTGAAAGAAAGGAAGTACCCTCATACACAACCGGGTATGTGCATAAAAGTCTAAAGTATATACATTCACTGAGCTTTTATGTGGATGTAAAGAAAACTGAACATACACAGAGAAAATAATTACAACACAGCTTCTGGCTAAAATTTACTGAGTTCTTAAGTATACAGTAACCTAAACATTGCTGAAACAATGTTCTCTTTGTTTTTTCCCCTGGGTTGCTCCTGTAGGTAATTCCTGCTATTTGTCAGGGCTGTTGCGGAGATGGTGTACCTGAACTTGAGGACAGTAACTTCTTTTTCCATTTCCCTGGATTCTGCCTTGCTCTTTTAAAAGAACGATGTTTTTTTCCTTTCTAGAAGTGTACGAAATAGAGGGAATCTCTGGATTATATGAGCTACAGCCCATGCCTGAGAAAAGGCGTGGATTCAGCCTCAGTCACTGTCTCCATTTAGACTGATTGAAAGGTTGCTGTACTATGAATCCTGACCATACCACCAGTCAGTGCAGATGTGTGTTTTTATGATAGCTTGCTCTTCCTAAATCTTCCTCCTCTCTCTATTCATTTGTTTTACAGATGCTGTGGAAGGTATAGATGCTCATTCGATAAACGGCTATATCATCCATAACCGTGAAAACAAGGCAGAGGTTGAGATTCCTTACCCTTGCACAGCAGCTGGACAAGTACAGAATGGAACAGCGTTTCATCACGGGCGCTTCATCATGGGTCTCCGAAGGGCAGCCATGTCAGAACCCAAGTAAGTATAATAAACTGAAGTCACGATGCAAGCAGGTTAGGCCCAGTGTTCAGTTTGCCTTATTAAGAGGCATCCGTCTGCTTTTCATTTTAAATGTGCTTTTCTTTTATTCATTTCATTTGAGAATCACCTCTACGTTTTTTGGAGTTAACTAGAAGAAGCATTTTAGATATCAGTTGGATTGGTTTTTATATGTTCTTTTAAGTAAATTCCTAGAAGTTATTAATCTATAAACATTTTTTTTTTGTTATTTTAATCACCAGTGTTATAAAATGTTGCTCCTGTTTAAGGCTAATTTGTCGTTTTTGGTATACCGACAACCTGAAAGAAAAGAATAATTTCTCTAAATTAAAAAAAAAGGGTCTTGCTTGACATAAGTAAGCTGCCTGTCCAGTGAAAATGTCTTGGATTTGAAGGGAGAAATGTAATTCAGAGTATGCATGGATTTGTGCACTGCATCTGTCAGAAGCACCTTAAAGCAGTTGTGTCTTTTCCTGGGCTCATGTGATTGCCCTCACAACTGCAGTGCAGTCCTGGGAAAGTACAGATTTGGCTAAATGTTGTGGAATCAAAACTCAGGACACAAATGCAAAATAATCAAGGCTTCACTGCAGTGTTTATTAGACAGTACATACTGGAGGGGGACCCC